AACACAATGCTCATGAATGCATGAGTGCAAGATGCAACACCCACAAACAAGACATACAAAGCACACAGGTTCAAAGGTTCGGCACGAGCATGGAGCCAAAGGTAAGAATCAACCAACCCACAATGGTATGTACTATGGTTATATCATCACCTGTAGAACAAGGTTCTAAAAAGTTCCCAGAATCATAATTCCATCTTTTGGATATTATCGGCTTAAACGACTACTCGTCGGCCAACAATATTCTCAAGAGAAACTCATCTGAGTGTGGTATCGCGTAACGACCAATTCAAGTCTACACCTGAACATCCACCGCACCACGTCCTAATAAGGCCAAGATGGGTTAAGGGGTTCTAAGGTCCTCAGCTTCTCAGGCTCCCAGTCGGAAAAAGTAATATCAATTACGACTACTTGTAAGACATCAGTAATTTCCAAAGGGGCCTCCACCGAGCGGGGGATCTCAAGTCAGCTTAGTAAGGACTACTCCACGTAAGCCAACAAGACTATACCACCCTCCTATCATAAGTGCACTCAAGTCCGGGTTAGGACTTATCTCACCACACAAATTACCAGGCACCAAAACAGAACAATCAATAACAAACAAGTCAAACAGAAAGCGATAAATAAATCAAAGTAGGCGAAACCCACTAGGAACCGTTGGAGTCCCCAGCAGAGTCGCCACTTTTCTGTAGCGGTAAAAATTGTGAGTGTAAGTTATTGACTAACTTAACTCAAAGAAAACAAGAGTCGCCACCGCACTTTTATTTTATCCAAATAAAGGAAAGGAAAAAGAGCGAACAAAACCGAAGAGTTCTAAAATAAGAACATGAGACAGAGATCGGGGTAAGGGGGTTGGTTACGCAATGGGAAGGTGTTAGCACCCAAAACGTCTATAGTATTCTATAGGAGCCCTTTGAAATATTTACGCTTTTTGGTTTGAAAGTGGTTTGTTTGAAAAGAGATTGGGGAGATGAGAAGAGAATATTTTTTAGATTTTTGTGTTTGGAGAGACTTATCGTCTCATGCCTACGTACCCATAAAGTGCAATATGGAATCAAAACCCCGTAGTTCGTGGTACAAATGACAAAATTTTGTTGGTTTTGATTGATTTTAGATGTTCAAACAAGTCGTCATTTCAAGGAGGAAACTGCGACTATCCACCCACGAGTATTAAGACAACATTTGCGTCACATAAAGATGGAGGATTTGCTTGGATTATCAACAAGACTATCACTCAACATCAACGTGGAAAATGTCAAAGTCTTAATAATATGGGGAATAGGAGATTTACATCTCAACTATAGAAATGAATCATATCTAAACTTTATGAAAAGTTTTAAAGTGAAAAGTGCATAAAGGCACAAAAAGAGTTGATGAGTTTTTGTATTTTTTATGTCTTTTGAAATTGGTCAAAGCATGATTAACATTGATTGACTTTTATTAAGAAAAACAAAGTTTAAAAATCACTTGACAAAAGTCAAGGTTTTATTGCGAAAGCGGTTTGGAAGTTTGAAACCAAGAAGGTTTTGAAAAAGGGAGAAAGTTTTGAAAATTTAAGAAGGGGAGGAGATGAAGTGACTATCCTAAAAAACAAAATAAGAGCTAGAGGTAAGAAAGATCTAACCGACTTGTAGCACACTCCAAAGCAAGCAAAAAGAATTCCATCCGATTTAAAGTATAAGCCAGTGATCTAGCCAAATAAAGGCTAAGATTCAAAATTCTCCAAGCATAGGGAAGAAAGTCCTAATCCTAAGTCCAAAATGTCCATGAAGTCCAAGGTCTAAGAATGGTCCAAGAGTATAACCACAAAATTAATAGCACCAAATTTTTTAGATGTTTTATCCTTTATTAGTGTTTTGAACAAAGTATGGTCCAAGAGTATAACCACAAAATTAATAGCACCAAATTTTTTAGATGTTTTATCCTTTATTAGTGTTTTGAACAAAGTATGGTCCAAGTGGACAAAAGAAAAATGACATAAACATAAACAAAGATATGGTATGTAATGATAAAATGGAAGCATAAAAGTAAAAAATAAGGAGTAAGAAGAGAATATAAACAAAATTAAACAAGGATATTGTTAGTGAATTAGTAGTTAGTGGTTAGAACATATGATCAATGATGATTAATTCTTGCACTTAGACCAAGATTAATGAAAATTCATTAGAGGATTGATAGAATCAAAGCCTCCTAACAATGATTTTCATAGGTATTGGAGTTAAGACAAGCAACTAAACATACTTGGACTTTTAAACGTAAGTTTGAGCCACGAATGATCATTTTCCGATTAAGGGACAATTTAGCGCTATGTTAAGCAATCGTAATCGGGTTTATGTAGAAACCACGACTATCTGAGGCTGGTCAATAAAATGTTAGTGTTAATACATGTTAGAGAAGTGATATGTAAATCACTCTCCTAAAACATGCCACACAAAAAGAAAAGAGGTAATGATCTCATCATAATCAAGATTTTTAATTAATTAATCAAAGGTAATCTATCACTATTCCAAAGTAAGGAGAATTATCTCAATGATTATTCGTCCATAGATTTGAAATAATGAAGATTAAACAACCTTGATAATCAACAATCTATGATCCATAGATTTCATCGATCAAAAATAAAAAATAATAAAAAAAAAGAAAGAAAATAAGAATGACAAGAAATCACAATTTGAATCTTAAATCGATTAAATTATCATCAATATCAATCACCTCTCTTGGTGGATAAAAATCAACACCCAAAGTCCATTGATATTGATGAAATCTTATCAAAATTCAAGATCCAAAACCACCAACAATTAATCAAAATATTTTCAAATAATTTTTTAATGCTTTCTTTTTTTCAAGAATATTATTATTAGTTTATAAAAAATAAACTAATAACAATATAAAAAAAAGAAAAGATAAGAAAAAGAATAAATAAATGAAAAAACAATTTAAAAGGAGAAAGAGAACAGAAACTTCATCTTCTCCTTTCTTCTTCACGGTAACTTCTTCGCACCATTTTTTTCGAGCTCAAAGCTTGTTAGATCAAAGCGACGGGATGCGAAAATCACACCGAACAGATCGAAATCAAAAGTTCTTCACAACAGTACCAACAGTTTAAAGAATCACAACAAAAGATAACGGATCGAAAATGACGGTGAAGCTCAATCTACCTTCAAACTCAGGTAAGAAATCAATCCAAACTTCTTCTTGCTTCTCTTCTTCTTCTGAACGAATCTCTGGTTGAATTGATCTGTGTTTGAGGTTGATTTGAAGTTAATTTGGTGGAATGAAATATGAGAAGAAAATGAACGAAGGTTTTTCTGGTAGTGAGGAATTTGGGGAAGAAAATCAGCAGAGGTTTTTTGGCTTGAAAAGCTTGAAGAATAGAGTGAGGGATGAATTCTATTTATAGATGAGAATGAGTGAAAAAAATGATTTGCCGCTTGTGATAATTTTCTGCCGTTTTGAAGTAGGTGTGTTGTGCGTGATATTTTTTTGCTGGTATTTTACATGTCGTTTTGCAATTTTTCTCTTTGTAGCTCATTTAAGTGACATGGATAGCTTGTGGGGTCAGCTACATGGCTGGGATTATATGGCTTGCAATATGGCTTGGATAAGTGAAAATGGTCTGGATAAAAAACAAAGCTCTGCTACCACAGAATTCTATTTTCTGCCGCTTCTTGATGTCGCCATTTCTCCCAAGCTGAACCGCAAAAGAAGTTGAAGCCACTGATGTGTTCAAATCCTCCATGCAGACAGGAGTAGGACAGTAAATATTAGTACTGCAATCTTGGTCTGTGGCCACTTTAACTGCTTCTGTCTTGAGTTTTTCGACAGTGTCTCTATTTTGCATTTTCAGGGCTTTGAGAAATATCATAATATCGTAAGGCAGCCTCCAAGAACTTTTTTGTAACATCTGCACCAAAAGAAAGTCCTACACCGCGCTTGCTTGGGCCTCTTCCAGGGATAGACTGTGGGTCACTCCATAGCAACTCACACATCAACCCTTCCTCGGGAGGCTCACAAGACCGATTAATTGATCGGATTTCAGAGAGTTTGACACCATCAACACTAAAAAGACCACCGTGGACTACAAAAACTTTCTCATTTATAACATGAGCCAAAGGTAAACAGCAGAATACTTCCGCAAATAGTTCGACAAACGTTTCATTCAACTTCGAGCGCACCTCACCCTCAAAACCATATATCTTGTTCATGCTCTTGCTCTCGTGATTTCCTCTAGCTAGATATATGGCTGATGGAGACATGCACTTAAATGCAAACAAAGTGAGAATGACTTCCAAAGAAAATGATCCTCTATCCACAAAGTCACCATTAAAGAGATATGGATTTTCTTCTGAAGGAAGACCATTGAGCTCAAAAATATTCATAAGATCATAAAACTGACCATGCACATCACCACAAACAGTAAAACGTTTTCCATTTGGAACCGTTATGTCGACAAGAGAAGGCAAAGCTTGCAACATCTCTTTCGTTTGCAATACAATCTGGAATGTATACCGCTTATGCAAGCATTGCTGTTTCTTGAAATCATCCATCATTTTCTTTACAAAATCCAAAGTAATAACATCTCCCTCTATTCTTGCTCCAGAATACTGTGGCTCGACATCAGTATTGTAGCCATTCCACCAAAATGCCCACAGGACCAACAGCAAACCGACCACAACAATTGCAGCTGCTAATGTGGTCTTTGATGTCCTGAACAACATAACCACCACTGACATAACTGCTACTGTCACTGCTGCCATGGCAACTTCGGTTGGCACCGAAGAATTGCGGCCCTTTCCTATTGAACGAAAATCTACAGATTCAGCTATTGGACGTTTCACGGATCCTGGTACAGCAATAGCTTCTTCAAATTTCAGTTTCATAACTGCTTTTTCACATTCCTTCAATTTTTTTGTTGCATCAGGATCATTTGGACACATTTTCTTGACCTGCTGAAAATCTTTCAGTGCTTCCTTGAATTTTCCCAACCCAAGATGAGCAGCACCTCACCTGTAATATCCCTTTGAATATTTAGGATCAACTTCAATAGCCTTTGTAGCATCTAATATTGCGCTACCATATTCCTCAAGCCGGAGATGAGCAAAGGCACGATTAGCATAGTAAACTGCACTTTGACTGTTTAGCTCAATTGCTTGTGTATATAGATCAATAGCGTGGGAAAATTTCCGATCTTTGAATGCTTCATTAGCAAGGACTTTAAACTCTTCAGCCTTTGCGACATTATGCTCTTCAGTTGCCATTCTAGTTAAAGCTTTTGTTGTATATGGTGATGAAACTCAGAACATAACAGAGTCAATCCTTTCCTCACAGTAATCAACCAACGGCGTTGGGGGACCTTTGTTCATCAAGAGATCGTAGCAATGCAGGCAAGAGAGAATCTACACTGTACGTTTTACCAACAGCCTCCAAAGTCGTAGAGCATGCTTGCCTAACAAGCTCTTTGGGGTCAATTAAACGAGAAAACACATGGGGTAACATTCGTTCCATGTAACTCTCAAACGGCTTTCGGCATGCACGAATAATATCTGCAAGTGAGGAGAGAGCCGCCTGTGCAACTTCATTACTTTCTCAAAATTCTGAACTACTTCTTGAACTCCTGAATGTATGCAGTCAAAGTGTGGGGACCAAAAAGCGTCGAAGCACCCTCGTATCTTTGCACCTCGTACTCCTCGAATGTGGTCACATACTGTGAATAAGTATTGGTCAACCCTGCTATAACAACATGAACGTTGCTACCAAAGCTTTTGTCACCACTTAGCACTGTCTTCACTGCATCACGAAGCCGTCTCCCAGCCATTGTTGTAAATTCTCCTGGTACACTAAGAATAACAAACTGTCCAATTCGAAGGATCTGGAGTGGAAGTATTGAAGGAGCCCAATCATATGGAAGCTTCATTTCACCGGTATCGAGCAAAATAGGCTTTGGATACTGACAGTCTATTTGTTCCTTGTCTGGCGTTTTCAGTACGTTGCGGACCAGTTTCCAGAAAGGATTCCCCTGATCATCACCTTGCTTAAAATCAAATGCTCCAGGTCCATCAGTTGTTCCAGCAGCAAATCCAAATCCCATTGCAGCAGGGCATGTCTTTACTATCTTAGAAGCTCCTGCGATAGAAACATTTACCTCGAGCTTGGAGAAATCTAAGTACACATGTCGAAAATCCACCTTTCCTTTAATCTGTTCGGATGCTCCGTTAAACAACTCCACTGCTCTTTTAAACTGTCTCTCCCCTATAATACGTGTACTTTCAAATTCATCGGGGTAACCGGGTCCTTTGCCGTAGCATAGCTCGTTCTTCCCTCCACATGTGCTGTGATTGAAGTCACAAGGTAGTCCAGTGTCTGTACAAAAGGCTCCAAGTACGTTTGGACTAACATCACCGCAATTGGATTGACAAAATGCAGATACAAATCTAGGTTTGCCGTCCTGCCTAAGAACACCTCTCACACGTCTAGCAACACTCGAAGTTTTGGTTGCTGGTCTACCAGGAGGAGATTGGAACGAGGCAGCAAGTTCCAGTAATTCATGGTGATTATTATTAAGACTGGGAATGATGTTTGAAATTCTTCGAGGTAAGCTGTCATCTTCAAATCCAACAGAATCTTTTCTCACAGAACCTTTTTGCTCAAACCAGTCTTCCATAAATCGCGCAGCAGCACCCTTATTATCCCCGCTAACTAATGAGTTTGTACGACTCATTGAAGTTCCATGAGTAGCAAACCAATTGAAACTTCCCACAGGACCCCACTCATCATCAACAAACTTTAAAAGAGACATTTCTTTATCGACATTATATTTATATTTGCTTCTCTCTTCAGCAGGATTGTTGAGATAACCACTAGGACTGCGATTAACACCAGCATCTAAAATTTCACCCTTATTGACAAAAATTGATCCTGGGCGGAGATTTTCATGGGCCTGAACAATGCTTTTCTCAATGCCATCGACAAGAACATCAAATGACTGGCGAACGAATCCAAGAGATGTTACGATATACACAACATACTGGAGATAACCCCCGGGACCAGCATGCGTGTGAATTCCACTAATAGCTACATTATTTTCTGTATATATGTCACCATATCTTGCTTTAAGTCTCTCAAGTACTTTGATAGTAACAAGCTGTGAACCCATGCAAGCATCAAGATTAACAAACACTAGCCTGTTACCCTTAGGCTCACCGACAATAAAAGCGCGAGCCCTTAACCGGAAGTGAACCCCGGATGCAATCTGTTCTGTGTTAGCATACCCCATCATGTTAACATCAGCAGCAGGACCAGTAATATCATAGCTTCCAAGACCAATCAAGTAATTAGAACATGCAACATCACTCTTGAGTAGTATTATTAAGAACAACAAAAACGTCCATACTCCCATAGTTCCAGAAACCCTCCAAGCATTCACAATTCACACCCAAATTAAAATCAACCTAAAAAAAGTTCAATTCTTTAAACCTAGCCAGTCCTTCTCATCTCCCTGGAAGATGGAAGGGAAAGTTGGATTTTGAGAGAGTGTGGAAAGTGGAGTAGATAGATATATAGATAGATATAGAATTAATAGTGATGATGAAAGGGAGAGGGGAGTTGTTGGTGGTAGAGTGGAGGAAAGGGCACGGGAAGAGAGAGTTGTGGAGTAATGGATTGTCCACTCCACTCTCTCATACGCATCTGAAGCTTCCCCCTCGCCCTTCTCCAAAGCTTTATATATGAACTTCTCATTTTCCTTACTTGTTGTTGAAGTTAACATATATGCTGGGATGCCCAAAGCAGTCAAACCCATTACCTGATCTTGAGTTAGCGAAAGCAAAGGATTGACGACTAGAGCAATTCCATCACGAAGAACGGCAGGAAGCTGGTAGCAGAGGCTCTTGCCACCACCTGCAGCCATAATCACCAGAACATTTCTTCCACTCAATATGGCATTAATAATCTCTTTTTGATTTGCACGGTAAGATAAAATTCCGAAAATGTTTAATCTAAGATCAGCTGCTTCAGAATCCCATTCAAATGGTCCATCCCAATTTTCCACAGTACTTGAACTTGCATTATTGACCTCATTTTCAGATTCTTTACACGCTTCCAAAATAGAATTCAGCTCAGATTTCCTCTCATACAACCTCTCTTTTATGTTCATTAAAACAACTTATATTACTACTTTTACTATCACAGCTTTCAACTTCAATCTGATTTCCAACAAAACTCGAAGCCGGAATCACACATCCACCAAGCGGAGCAGAACAACCTTGAACAAACACATTTCTTGAGAAAATAGTCCACTATCACTGGTAACTCATAATTGAAGCAGACTCTTGATGGTTTGACCAAGATGAGGTCAAACATCCATCTGATTTAAACTTGAATGAATATCTTTGCTATTAGTCTCCTTGTAAAACCCTAAACACACAGAGAAAAAGAAAAAACAAACAAATTGAAAAAATATTTTTGGTATTTTGGTTAGACGTTAGTAAACAGAAACAAACGTAAAGCAAGTAAGAAACAACAAGGGACCTAAGAGAATCAAAAAGTATGATCTTGTTTGTGGAATGATATGCAAATGAAATGTGGGATCTTAGGGGTAAAAATTAGGGTATTACACCTAGCAGCCCATGTTAATGCACAACAAGTCTTCTCCAAAAGTGAATATCTGCTCTCACAATCCGTAAACTTTTTGCTCAAGTAGTAGATGGCATGTTCTTTTCTTCCAGTCTCATCATGTTGACCAAGTTCGCAACCCATAGACTTCTCAAGAACTGTAAGGTACATGAACAGTGGTCTTCCGGGAACCGGGGGAATCAGGATAGGAGGTTCTTGCAGATAACCCTTGATCTTCTCAAATGCTTACTGACAGTCATAATTCCAATCAACAATCTTACCCTTGTAGAGTAATTTGAAGATCGGCTCACAAGTAGCAGTCATATTAGAAATGAATCTGGAGATATAGTTCAGTCGTCCAAGAAAACATCTCACTTGTGTTTCAGTCTGTGGAGTTGGCATGTCCTGAATGGCTCGAACTTTATCGGGATCCACTTTAATTCCTCGTTGGCTGACGATAAAACCAAGTAGTTTTCCAGATCTAACACCAAAGGTACACTTAGTAGGATTCAATTTCAACTGGTACTTCCTGAGTCGTTCAAATAGTTTCAGCAAATGATCCAAATGGTCCTCTTCATTTTGAGATTTGGCAATCATATCATCAACATAAAATTCAATCTCTTTACGCATCATGTCATGAAAGAGAGCGACCATAGCTCTTTGATATGTTGCCCCTGCGTTCTTCAAACCGAAGGGCATAACTTTGTAGCAGTAGGTTCCCCAAGGAGTAATGAAAGTGGTCTTTTCTCTATCGGCAGGATCCATCTTGATCTGATTATAACCAGAGAAACCATCCATAAAAGAGAAAACTGCAAAACTGGTTGTATTATCAACAAGTGTATCAATATGCGGCAGAGGGAAATCGTCTTTTGGGCTTGCTTTGTTTAAATCCCTGTAGTCTACACACACTTTGACTCTACCGTCCTTTTTGAGCACTGGAACAATGTTGGCCACCCAATCAGGATACTTCGTAACTGTAAGGAAACCTGCATCAAGTTGTTTCTTAACCTCATCTCGAATTTTCAGAGCCATGTCAGGTCTGGTTCTTCGAAGTTTCTGTTTGATAGGTGGACATTCTGGCTTAAGTGGCAGCTTGTGAACTATAATATTAGTGTCTAAACCAGGCATATCTTGACACGACCATGCAAACACATCAGAATATTCCTCTAGAAGCTTGACCAATCTCTGTTTGACCACGGCCCCAAGCGTTGTACCAATCTTGACCTCTTTCTTGTCTTCATCAGTGCCAAGATTAATCAAATCTACCTGCTCTTTGTACGGTTGGAGCTCGGTGTACTCATACTCAACCAATTTTGCCAGTTCAGCGGGTACTTCAAAATCATCATCGCCCTCATCTTCAGCTTGATAAATGGGTAAATCCGAGTCGGGAGTGAAAGTAGGGTCGTTGGATTCAACAAGGTTTTGGATATCACTGCAATGTTTGGGGCTTATTTTATTAAATGCACAAGGAAAATGCGGAAGAAAATGCTCTTAAATTTATATTTTGTAGTTTTTGAAAAGGTTTGCCAATTTCATTTTAAAAGTGAAAGCAAAAAACGCAAGTGAAACAAATAGAATTTAACAAAATGCACTTATTAATATCATTTTAGAAAGTGAAAAGGCGGCCCTACAAATTATCCAATAGCTTCGGGCATAGCTATGGAATTTTGAAAACATCAAATGAAAACATTAAATTACTTTGAAATAGGAAAAATCACGGGGATCTCTATAGCTTCCCAGTTGCTCAAAGTTGCATCGCTCTTGAATACCAGGTTGCTCAGGTTTTCATCATCATCATCATCGTTGACAGCATTGACTTGGAAACCTCCGCTGATAAACACCTCTTGGACAGTCTTCGGACGCCCTTTGACAGTTGTAGAAGCTTTATCATAAGTTGGTTTGTAACCCAACCCGTGGCGATTAGTCTTGGTCTTGATGTCGATCACTTCTCCCCAACCTTCAGGAATGCCCCTATCGATTGTTGATCTGGTGCTCTTGAAAGATGCAAAAGATGGATTACTCTGGACCACTGTTTCTTCAACTTCCAATAGGAGAGCATTGGCGATCTCAAGTGCTTGGAAAGAAGTTTCCAGAGCGTCTTCATCGGCCTCGATGTAACGGAAAGAAGATAGGTTGCTGACCATCAGATCTTCTTCACCATGTATGATAACCAGCTTTTCATTGACCACGAACTTCATCTTCTGATGCAAAGTCGAAGTTACTGCCCCAGCGGCGTGGATCCAAGGTCTTCCAAGTAGGCAGCTGTAGTTGGGATTGATGTCCATTACTTGGAAAGTGATGTTGAAAACATATGTTCCAATTAAGATCGGTAGCTCCACTTCTTCAATCACGGATCTGCGAGAACCATCAAAGGCTTTGACAATCAAGGAAGTAGGCTTCATCACAGTCTTTTTATAAGCCAACTTAGTAAGAACTCTCTTGGGTAGGACGTTCAGGGATGAACTGGTATCCACAAGTACCCTTGATAAGTTATCCTCCAAACATTTCACTGATATATGTAAGGCGCGGTTGTGATTCTGACCTTCTCTTGGTAACTCCTCATTACTAAAGCTGAGAGTGTTGCAGGCAGTAATGTTGGCAATCGCACTATCAAATTGTCTGGTGGTAATGTCCTGGGCGACATGAGCTTGAGCCAATAACTTCTGCAAAGCAGTTCTGTGAGTAGGTGAATTCATTAGCAGAGATAAGATTGAGATCTTGGAAGGAGTCTGATGAAGTTGATCAATAACTTTTTAGTCGCTCTTTTTGATGATCCTCAGAAACTCAACATCTTCATCATTAGTAACTGCTTCATTATCCTTGTCTTTGGCAGGCGTAGTGGCAGTAGTGGTTTCTTTTGGCGGAGCCTCGTTGAATTGGGGAGTATAGATACGACCGCTGCAAGTCATCCTGCTTGCCCCAGCTATATTGGTCACAGTTTCATTATCAGTCTTCAATTCTTCCCTCGGAATAACTTTCCCAGATTCTTTGTCAATCATGGTCACCTCGTACTTCCAGGGTACGGCTTTAGGGTCACTGAAATGAAACGGACTTGGCTTCTAAATAATCACCGGCTTCAGTTGATTCACCGTAGGAGTCACAGGCTTTGGCATGCTGAACACGGGCTTTGCAGCACTCGACCTTAGCAAATTAAACACTGGCACTTTAGTATTTGACTCTGGCAAATTGAAGACGGGCTCAGTCACAACAACTTCATCCTTCTTCACTTTATTAACCACTTGTAAGAAACCATCATTGATCAACCTCTGAATATCATTTTGAACCCACACACAGCCCTTGATACTAACATCACAACTTATACAAACAACATGAGAAGTAGACACTAAACCGGCTTCAAATAGCTTAGAATGGAAAACCCGGAGAGGGGTCTTGGTCTGAGCAACATCAAGTATAAGGCTTTCATCAGAGGAATTGTCGATAGCATTAACAGCCCCATGGTTAGGCAAAGGATTGCTCTTGACATTCGATTGAGGATCATTGAAAGACAGAATCTTCTTTTCTATTAACTCTCTGACAAGATGCTTAAGAGCGTAACAACCTTCTAGATCGTGACCTGGCGCACCCTCATGAAATAAACAATGAGCGGCGGCATTGTAATTAGTTGGTAGCGGATTAGGAGGTGGACCCAAAGCTCTGGTAGTGATCAAACCTTGTTGTACTAGTGAGGGGTACAACTCGGTGTAGGTCATCAGAATGGGACGACACTGCTTGTATTGTCTCTTGTTGGGACCATTCTGGCGAGGAGCCTGATTCTTTGACTGATAT